CACACACACACACACACACACACACACACACACACACACACACACACGTTAGTTGCCTCATCCTGTATGTTTCTAACTCAAAAGCAAACAAACAGCATTAAAGAGATAATTTCAGAATGGTCTGTGTTAATCTCTTATTTTCTAAACCGAAGCAAAAGAAAGGATGACTGAGAATAAAGAACCACGTGAAGAGTTTCAAAGAGCTCTTAAGAGCTACCTACATATATTGTAACATGAACCAAAACATGTTTAAATTAAGTTCTAACATTTATCAGAAAAGTGGACATGTTAAGYCCAACAAAAACAGGTAAGTTCTATAAGACACAGAAATCTGTTTTAGAGTCTTAAACCCACGTTTGATCATAAATAGGATTCAGAGTCCTCTTCAATGTGTTCGTCCTCCTCCTCCCTGTTCGGCTCTTGTCAGGCAGCAAATAAAGGCGTATGAAGGGATCTGAACCATCTTTGGTGAAAGCTATCAAGTTGCTGAAGGCAAAGAGGAAAGAAAATGTCTTTGATGCATTGCTCAGGTTACTTGTTTATTCTAGACATTGAAATATAAGGTAGAGAAACTAAGTTAATAGTAGAAAAGACAAAAAAAAACTGAACAAATTTTTAACTTAWCTAGCTGCAAGCTCATCGTCAGTCAGAACTGAACATATTTCAACAAACAGATCATTCAAGTGGATATCTACAACAGGTAAGATATTACCTATTTGTAACCTTTTGAAAGCTAAAAAGATTTGAACTATGACTTTAAAATTGAGTCTGTTGTTGCAGTTTGGAGCTCACCGGCAGGCGTGCACCACCACAACCAGTTTGTTCCTCTGAGAGCTGTGCCGAACCGTCAGCTGGATCTCACCCAGGGGGTACTGGTTGGGGGCGGAGCCACTGAAAACACACCAAMGTCAGACTGCATCACTTCAAAACAATCCATTAAATAAAAATAAAAATCACACTAATGAATGGATCACGTGACACGTGGGGTGGGTAAAGCTAAGATAAARGCAGCGGCAGAACTGAAATGAAATCTTACTTCTGCAGGTGACGAAGCCTCTGCTGAAGCTCCAGGGCGGCGGCGGGCAGAGAGATGTCKGAGGCCAGGCTGGGGGTGGACTCTCGGTGAGGAAGGTGCTTCTGGGAGCTGGAAATGCAGGCTCTCAGGTTGGTCGTGCTCTGGCGAGGGCTGGCCGAGTACGGCTCGCCGTCCGGGTCCTGCAGGGTGAGCGTGGAGGCGTGGATGGGCTGCAGCGACGTGGAAGAAGGAGGCGGCGATTCTGACGAAGACAGGCTCAGGGAGGGAACTGAGACTGTCTGCGGGACACTGGACTTCCTGACCTGGACAGACGAGGGCAGGTCTGAAGGTACCTGCTTCTCCAGGGAGAGGATCTGTGGAGACAAGTTCTCATTACTGGAAATAAAATCCTGCTCTGGATATGTGACTATTTCTGGTGTTTATCTGACAAACACCAGATAAAAATMTGAAATTAGAGCAATTTTTGTTTTCGAGCATCTATAATAGATGGTGCATTGATTATGACCCAACTGAAAAATGTTAATTCAGAATAGTTTTATATCTCATGTAGCTGCATTCATCTTTTATATTTGACCAGTGGTGATTCAGTACACCTCACACTTTAGCCTGACTRTCTATAACAGCAAAGCAATTTACTATCCACTGGTTTTAGACACTGACTAAATCTTCCTTTTAGTAATAAAAAAGTAAAACGCTTTTCCTTAATGTTTAAACTTGGTGAAATATAAAATTAACATCAGGCCTAAAAGCTATTGATTTATAACTTAGTTTCCTTGGGTAATGGCTTGGAATGCATCATCCAGAAGAAAGAATAATGAGAGTGGTTATTCTGTACGTTAGGAGAGTAGTTTATTTTTTGTCTTAAAAAGAGATAGCACAGAATAAAATAACCTGGAAAAGTTATTTTGCCTCCTAAATAAACACACTAATTTGTCAGATTGCCAAAGGTCGTTTATGACTTGCAGAAGCCCATTTTGTCTGCGTATAGAAACTTTTTAAACTCTTCTGTTTGAAAACTTGTGTAATTTGGATTTAAACTCTGACATTTCAGTAGCTTAAGTAGTTTGTTTGATTGTTTGTACGTTTAAAACCAGGGGCCCATTGAACAAAAATCAGATTTATACATTCAAGATCTCGGCAACTTGGCATAATGTTATGTCCTTACAGGCTCTGAGGTGTAAAAAAATAAAACTGAATAAGCTGAGTTTTTCTTTAACTAACAGTATAATTATATTTTAATGCAAAGTAAAAATTATGAGGGTGATATGTTCACTGGAACACCGAATAATTGTATGAAACACTGATTTCTGATTGGAGTGCTGCTCAGAAATAATACCTGATTAAGGCTGGGGGGGGTGGATTATGCATTTTCCAGACATAGTTTAATTCTATACCACAATCAATTAGAATCAGAATTCAGAATCAGAAGTGTTTATTGTCATTCACACACAGCATCAAGATGCAGTGCAGAATGAAACTGCAGTTTAGAACATCTGTCCGGAGAAACACACACACTACGACAAACACGGGGGAAYGAATGTCCACGGTCTTTCGCAACTTAGTGCGCTACCTTTTGCAGCTTAGAATACACACACAATAGGAAGGGTGAGTTAAAAAAAGAGCTTTGATCCTGTGTTTTATACAGAAACACACAAACATGCGCTCAAAAAAACTACTCTGCTTGAGTTAAAAAACCCGCGAGAGAGCAAGTCAGTCGGGGGGCTTAGGTCAGATAACACATAAAGGGGAGGTAAAATGGGACGGGTTCAGAGGAGTAGGTGACGTTGAGGGAGGGGGGGTCTGTGCTAGGCCCAACCCTGGGCCCATCCAGAGTCCAGAGTCACATGATGTTATTGTCTCTACTCAGTGCGCTAGAGTTCAGAGATTTCCTCCTCTTCAGCCAATTGAGTTCTAAGGCCGGGTCAAACGTGGGTGATGGGGGTGGGAGCGAATCCAGCTCTTAGTTGACATTCCATCCTRGGGAGGTTGAGATAAACACTGCCCTCAAGGCTGTGCCGCTGGGAGCCAGATAGATAAACCAATTGTTCTGGAACAAAGCAGCCTTGAAATTCCTGCTGCTTTTGAAGTGTCTTAACTGCAACTCTGAGGTGGCTGGAAAAAAAGCCAATCAGTCAAATTTGGGGTCATTCCTCAACTCTCACCGTCAGAAGCTAACCTAGATGTAGTCCATACATGCCGAAGGGTCGCTCCTGAGCTGTGATCCTCATCAGAATCACATCCAGTTTGTGAATTTTTCCCCCCAGCTAAGAGTCTGTATGCTACCAGGCCAGCAAAATCCTTCAAGTGCGCCCGACAGCTCTTCAAAGGCCCGATCACTGTCGGGTTGCTTCACTTTTCGATAAATCTGGAAACCTCCTCCGCTGATCAGCAGGAATCCAGTCATCCTAATCCAAATAAATAAAGATCTTCCATGTCTTCGATGGAAAGTGGTGCTGGCATATCAGATTCCAGCCCCAGGAATCAGACAAATCCAGCGGCAACCATTCCACCCAGACAGCCATGTTCCCCTCGTTCCAAAAAAAGTGTCAATTTCATTCAGAGACCAGTTGACCAAATCCATAATTCCTTTAGTTTCGGATGGAAGGTGAAAAAAAAGCTTGAAGAAGCAAAAGCAGCAAAGCAGGGAAGGGTGGGGTGCAGAGAGAGCAAAAAGCATGTCCTGCTCCTCTGAAGGTCAAGCTCAATTAACTGTGTTAGCGTTAGTTGTTATGAAAATTCTGTTTATATCAAAAATAGGTTTGACTTTGCATCAAAGTCTATCTAAACGCCTTGAAATTGGCCTCTGTCTCTTTAAGAACCTCCTACCATTTCCAACACTCCCACTTCAGCACGTTTTCACAACAATACTTCGGGGTGACCTGTGGAGAGGGAGTTCGGCTGCAGACTGAGCTCCAGGGAGGAGCTGTGTAATAGGCGGAGCTTTGTACCAGTACGCATTCAAGTAGCTTCACATGACTACCACTGGAGATTCAAGGATTTCTCAAACATACATGAATAAGTCAAGACACACATTATGACATGATGTAAAGCTCAGAATTTTTCATTTTGCAGAAGACCTTCCCCTTTAAAAATGCTTCCCTTCTAGCTCGGTTGTGACTAGGTAAGTTTCAGAGGACTACTTACCATGGAAATGTGTCTTCTCTTCTGTGCAACCAAATGAAGGATTAATTTATCCAGGATAACACAGTAAATCCCGGCCTAATCCTTGATCCTACTTTTGTGAAACAGGCCCCCGGGCAAAATACATTTTTTAATTCTTAGCAAAATGAAGAATTTGCCTCGATGTACACGAGCTCTCTAAAGGTGTTTTCAAAATTAGACAAATGGGTCAGTCATGGCACTTTTAACCAATTGATGAGCTTTTATTTTCTGTCAAACAACAGCAATTGGGTATATCTTCAGAAGTGTCTTCCCTCAGCATAGTATTAGCCACAAATAATTTAAGGAATTAAACCTGCCATTATTGAACTGTGTTTGGGCCTTMCTAAAAAAACAACAACAGCAAAAAGCAAGAGACTTAATATACATAGATCTGAGTACAGAAAAGTAATCAGTAACATAAAAAACTGCGGATGCTTTTTTAGTTTTGCTTCATCAGTAATTCAAACTGTTACTCAAAAGACATTTTCTTGCTAGTTAATCTGTGCATTTGGAGCATCTGTTCTGGCTGAAATGAATAACTTGTGAGTTTGTTTTTACCCTCAGAGCCATCTTTAGTTTGACGGTGGAGTTGGGCCCCGAGTTCTTCAGGGGAAAGCACTGAGTCAGCGTCATGTTCTCCTCCGTCAGCAGGCTACTCAAAGGCACCCTCAAGTTACCCAGCGTGCATTTGTGCTTGTCATCTTTTATCTAGTGGTAAAAAAAAAGCAAAACAAATCAAACAAGCCACTTTTTCTCTGTCATAACAGAGCGTGATTCACAAATCGTTCTCTCCAACATGGCGTTACCTCCACCTCCAGCTCCTGCCTCTTGGGATTGTGGATGAGGAAGGGGAAGCAGTCCTCCCACAGAGGTTCCCTGGTCTTGAAGCGGACCTACAAGGACAAACATTAGTTTAGAAAAACACAGAGTAGCTACAAATTAAGAGCACAACTCTGAAAATATCTGCTGTGATTTTTAACTATCATATGTTTTATCTGAGACTAGAAATAATAACCAAAAGGTTTAACTTTTAATGTAACTTACATACTTGCTTTTATGTTAACATAAAACATTTTCTCCTTAAAATATTTAATTGATTTAATAAAATGCTTTTCAAGTGTTTAAGCTTTGTGAGTTTTTGTGGTTCATTTCCATCCAAGGTGCTGCATGAATAATTTACAGCTCATTGTAGGAGAGGCGACATGGTATATTTTCCTTTTCTTCTCCTCCAAACCCATAAATTTACAGTAATTTGGAAACCAAGAATGTATCTGAGATCACACTAAATAAAGAAATGCTTACTTATTGTAACAAACTGAAAGTAAAATTCCAAACTGAAAAGGTAAAAAAATGATTCATGATTCTTTCCACAGAACTCCACTTGGAAGTGCAAACTTCCCACTTAGCAGAGAGATGTGGGCCAGCTCTGGTAATGATGGCACTTTTTATACAATGGCATGCCACAACTGGCCTAGTTGTGGTTTGATTTATGTGGTGCTGGCCCACACATGGACCACCTCCGGCACACCCCATCTGGACAACCAAGGGGCCGTCATTCCTTGTCAGATCTGGGCATTGCCTTTTGATACATGGGTCTGTTTGGACTTATTATGTGACATCTCCGTTGTTGAACTCAATGTCTGTCTGGGTCTGTGGCTCTGGTCCCCCTTATGTTTGCCTTGGGTATTGGGGGTCGGGTCTGTGGTCCTCCACAATCACTATTTAATATTCCACTGGAGAAATCTTGTATTTATATGCAGGTTCACAACCACACAAAAAAAAGATATTTGGATCCTGGGGTTTCTGACATTCACTGGATGTGTTTATTTATATGTATGTGAGTGAGTGTGTGTGTATGTAGGTATGTATGTATGCATGTATGTGTGTGTATATGTGAATGTTTGTATGCGTATGTGCCTGATTGTGTGTGATGGTCAAATGTCGGGTGTGGTGTCCTGTGTGTTATTGGTGTTCATTTCACATGTTGTATAATTTCTATCGGTTTCTCTCTTTACTGTTCTTATATTTCTCTTCTACTTTTTCTTTTTCTTTCTTACTATAGTATTATAAAAAAAAGCCACTGATGATGCAGAAATTAAGAAACTAACATTCAGTTTTGTTTTTTACTGAAGTGGCAAAAAAAAGAACTCAATGTCTGCTTTTGTATTTCTTTTATGCATAAAGCCATCTCTGTATGTCCAGTCCCTACATACAAAGAGCATTTTGTAACTTTAGATTATGGTGAATTTTTGCATTTACTTTTCCTTTTTTCACATTTACATACTTCTTTTTAAAGTGTGCTTATTTTGTCTAATTATTTTTGTGTGTTTGGCCCGTCCCTTTGCATCACTCTCTCTGGTATTTGCATTTCCCTCAGTTGGGAATCATTAACTTCCTAAACGAGGGACATACAAAGCATTCGTTTTTTTGTTCCTTTTTGAATCCCAAACAGAAAGTGAAAAAGCTGATAAACACATTTTATCTGCACTTGATATATGTATTTATATAATGCTCCCTTTAATGCCCAAATGTAATTAGACTGAGTACTACGCTTACAGAGGCATAATAACCACAGTGTGAAATGTTTGGATTCTTCAACCACTATTAAAACGTGAAAACATCCAGCAACACCAAGACTAAACATTTTTCAACATATCAGAATAAAAAATAAATGAATATATAAATAAATAAAAAATAAAATAAAATAAAAAACGGTGAGTGCAAAGCATGGATTAAATGAAATGATGTGAACGCTGATGTGATTTTAATACTCACCTTACTCTCCAGCATTTTATGACCAACAATGAACTGCACATACGGGTTAGGTTCGCTGCTGCACTTCTTGGTTGACTAAAAGACAATCAGAGCAGGAGGCGTTCAGTTCGTTGCCCACGCTGGGATACACAATTTAACGCTGGACAATGAATTCACACAACATGCGTCGTGGAGACCTAATCAAGCGCACAAAACAGAACAAGTGGTTAAAACACAAAAGACGAGTATTTAAGACAAACAGGGCTGCAGGCAAGGAGAGTTTTTGTCTTTCCTACATACTAAATTAGGAATAATTTGTTCGGTTGGCTAAGAATTGAGTTTTCCATAAAGAATAATACTCCTAATCTCTACATGCCAGAGGCCAACAACGATGAAGAAAGGCTGCCCCTTTATCCTCTTCTTCCTCATATCTGATCTGTTTCTCTCTATTAGATTAAGCTTCATATTGAGTGTTCAGGGTTAATGATGAGCAAAAACTTTAAYTGAGAAAAGCARATGGCACAAAAAATGCAGAATATACAGTATGTTACTGTACAGTAGATACACCATAAAATGAATGTTAGATCGATAAGATGAACTTAACAATCTAACACATCTAACAAAGAGGTTGGATTTTTCAGTGATTATGTTGGACTTTGCAGCATTTTTTATTAAACTGAGCTACATTTTGGGGGAAAAATGTTCCTGACATATCCTGGATATCACAAATTGAAATCTAGCTTCTTGTCTTGACAAGTCTTGACTCAGGTCGGCTGAATACAATGAAWACAATTGCACCACAAATATTTTCTTTTTTTGTTTTATACATGAAAAAAATTGTGAAACCAAAAGACGGTTTCCTTCCACTTCACATTTGTGCTCTACTTTGTGTTGGGGGAGGAGCTAAACCCACTGTGCCTAAATGCATCCATACAAAGGACTGATAAGTGCCTTCCAACCTACTAGAAGGGAGAGGAGGAGCAGTCTGGACACACTGTATGGGACCGATAACGTCCATTTAATGGACTGACAACATTCGAAGCAAGTGAAATCCCAGGAAAACACTTTTAGAACCACTTTCTGCAACAAGACAAATTCTTGAAGAGTTCAAAGGGTGAGAATTCCTTTGCACTGTATATGTCGAAAACATTTTTTTACCCCAACAAGTGCTCAGTTCAATTAAAGAAAATACTCCAAGGTCAAATACTTTGAAGGCTGTGTTTGTTACATGACAAACTGTGGCAAAGTTCAGGTTGTGTGAAGGATTTGAGGTACTTTCATGCAGCTTTACTTTAGTTTAGTGGTGTACATGATGAACAAAAGAACAAAAGATAAGAAACTAGAATATAAGAAAGCCTATATTGCTTTTATGTGTAAAATACAATTGTTTTTTTTCTTTGACATTTTATTATAAAGACAGACAAATTTTCAATTCARCTAGAAATTTGACTTTGAAGTCTGTAAGTTATTTTCTTCATCAGAAAAAAACGGGAAAAGAGAACTGGACTGCTAAGGATTTTTTTCATCACAATAACAGCATTTTTTTTCCTTTTATGAGAGTGTAAAAAAGGGTTCTATCTGTAAACCTGCTGTCAGCCACCAGGACACTAAAAGTGCTGAAAGATGAAACTACCAGGGAGAAAACCCCAAATCACTCCTGCTGTTGTGTTGCACAAAATAAAACTGACATAAGTAAGTGTATTGTTTCACCCATCCTTACACACACACACACACACACAGGAGGTGAGGGAGTGCCACGGTGTGTGAGACAATGGAAGACAATGGAAAGCTTCTTGGAAGAAAAAAAACAGACGCCGCTCTCTCTGACAATGTGCAACAGCAGATTTCTGAGTAAGGTCAACATTGTTTTGTTGCTGTGTTGCAACACACCATTCCTCTCGCTGCCATGAATGAAAATCATGAGACTCATGTTTGCTGTGACAGCTTGTCAACAGACYTGTTACTTTCCACCTCTTCCTAAACCTAACTGACTATTTAACCTGCCTTGTCTGTACATATATGGGACAAACTTGTACAGAAGAGTTAAATCACCAAATAAAAAACGTTAAAAAAAATGTCCCTTTGGGTGAACATATTCTAAATTCCTGAAAACTCCTTCCAGGATTAGTACGTTCTGATTTAGCTAACTCTGGCATGAGCGCTCCCTTGYAGCTGGGTTGTTTTGTAAGTTTTGCTATTTAGAAACTCTCAGTTCAAGTCAAAGCAAAAAACAGAGACACAAAATACATGTTATTATTATTCTTTTAGTGTAAAAATTGTTATAATTTTAGAGAAAAGGTTTGAGTGCATTATTAGATTTCTGCATGCAAGGTCACGTGTTGGAAAATGCCAAGAAACAATTCAACATTCAGGGCAAAGGCGTGCAAAACAGCGCGACCATCTTCACGCACGACGACACTGACATTTTATTAATCGTCACAATCACTCRACACTAGACGGTGCAGCCGCGACAACGAGGGTGTGATCCATGCAGACCGTTCTTCCTGCWTTTACTGTACCTTCAGGGCCTTAAAGACCGAGATTTGCTTCAACCCATCGTGTGGGAGATCTGACGGGTTGCTCTTAAAGCCGACGAGTTTTAGGGGGAAAAAAAATCACACCCACGGTTAGTTGGAACGAGTTGGTAGGGTTAAAAGGCATCACAAAAACCCAGATACATGTGTAGACATTTGTACTAAAATGATTGGAAAAGAATGAATAGATTAAAAAAAATGTCAGTGTAGATAATACTAATGACTCGTCAGAGAACCAACTTTGAAAACTGAGTAGACTTTTCAGACCTGGGCCTGACAGATCATTAGGAGCTTTGCCAGAACAGAAAACTTCCACTTCAACTTTAAAATGAGCACCATATGTGATAGAATAAAACTATAATTTTAAAAATAGAAGCAGGTAAAAGCTCCTAGGAAAGCTGCATCCTGGGGTTTTTAAGTGTTTCCTTCAGTTAATGGTTATTAGTTAATAAAGTGGGAAACTACACTAGAAGCATGCAGCTTGCACATGCTTTAAAGCCATAGTTCAGAACTTTTAAAGTTGATTTCTGTAAATAAAATAAAATAAAATTCTTAAAACAATTATCATTTTACTTGCTGCAGATTGTTCTTTAAACGGCCCTGGTTATTTGGAAGAACATAGTTTAATTTTGACCAAACTAACGAGCCAATGTATGGAGCACCAAGTGTACAGTGAAATGTTAAAAAGTGTCACTAACACATTTTCMTTATTTAGTTCACTTTCTGAGTGTAAAATCCTGGTTAAAAATATCCACTAAGAGTTTACTGTTATGTAGTTAACTGTTCTTAGATTTTGCGAACTTTTACTAAATGTTAAGTTTAAACATTAAAGGACACATGTAAATATTAAATCCTATATCTAAATATCTGAATCTAAGCGTACAAGTTAAGTCTTAAATGTTGTAGTTAGATATTGAAGTATGCATTTAAGTATTTCRGAATGAAATGCAGCCTTTGCTGTCGGTGCTCGGTTCATGTTATGATGTCATCAGCCTGCGACAAAAGCAACTGCTAATACTTGATCGCTAATGCTGCTGACGCTGCAGTTAACGCTGCTAAAGCTTCCCTACAAGACATCAAACTTGCAGTTGCGGTCGGTGTCAGAGCTGCACTTCGAACTGCCGGACCACAGGTGTCATTCATAGTGTTTTCAATTAATACATTTTGAATTTAGATTTTAAATTTGAGCTGTGGCTGCCCGATCCGTCCCGGTAGCATGATCCGTACTGTCAGCTCATTTGCACTTCAAACTGAATGATAGACTTCTGGAATGTGCTCGATTTAGGAAAAAACACTGAAAATATTTATTTCTATACTTAATTATAAATGTGTGTTACATTATATCCTGAAAACAGTTTTAATATTGAATATTGTTTGATTAATAAAATATAGATTTACAATGCGTACATATTTATTTATAATAACTTGCTAACTATTTTGTAGACAATTATGTTATAGCTCATCTTATCATCGTTTCATTTTTTTTTCCCCTGGAATAAAAATCCACAGCTGTTGCAAATGTTGCCTTTTCTAAGAAACATTGCAGGTGATGAAATGCTGAAATCCAATGAATTCTGTCATCAGTTTAGCGAAATGCTACATGCTAATAACAATGTTTCCGGGACAGTACGGATTGTGCTTCCGGTATGGATCGGGCAGCCACATGAGCTTCAGCTTTGTGAGCAGCAGTAAGTGTTGGCGCAGGTTGATGACATCATCCTGGTTAGTTACCCTGCAAAATGAGTGAATATTTGCAAAAAAATAAAAAAAAAATTCCATTCGAACATTAAATATCTTATCTTTGTAATGTATTCAGTTAAATGTAGTTTTTTATTTAAGTTTTACACAACATCCAAACTTCATTGGAACTGGGGTTGTGCATATGGGTATTTGGAAGTGCTTATAATGTCATATTTGTAAATGAGAAGTGGTTCTCAAACAGTTTACCTGGATAAATAAAGGTTACACAAATAAATAAAATAATGTTCCTTTAAATTGTTGTATTGTTTCTGTTGTGAAACTGATAGCATTGCAAACATTTTTAAAATAGTGTTGCATGAACCGCTATGCGAATTTTGCAATTGAAGGTTTTTTGAAGGTAGCAATCCATTTTGGTTTCAGTTCTACTGGAACTACCTGCTCGCTTGTGATTCCAATCAAGAGTAAACTATTTTGCCAACCTGAGGCCATTCAAAAAGCAATCTGCAACAAGCACGTCATCAATTCTTTAAATCCTTTCCACAGAACCTCACTTTAAAAGCTCAACTGTGCCTTTAAGGTAAATTCTTTAAGTTTTCCTGCTATAGTTCAAACCCATGACATCACACATTGCTAATGCTATCACCACAGAGGTGCAGAAGCACAGTTGGACTCACAAAAATGGTTCTACRCTCAGTTGTATTGCTTTCACAAAAGATTAAACCAGATGCTCTCCTCTCACTTAAGTTCCCGCAGCCTAAGCTGCCTGTGAAGACACCCTTAGGTGAAGAAGGAAAAAGAATACAGAGGAAACAGAGGCGTTATGAGAACTGAAATAACTAAACTGTGAATTTTTGATCCAGTTGCATTGTTCCAAAATGAAAAGATTAAAGGCTGTTTGCTGACTCTAGGTAAGTTTAATTGTTTTATTTGCTTCAAAAACTTTTAAAGCCTCAAGAGATAAACTCAAAGATGGCTACAGGTTTTAGAGATTTAAGGTTTGCATCTAACAGCAGCAAATCTCTTGCTGTGAGATGAACAAAATGAGCTGAAAGCACTTGCTATCAAATTTCTCAGTAAATTGGACGATCGGGTTTRAAAGGTGAGACACCCTGAGGTGTGGTCGACACAGAAAATTAATCTGGAGAAAATAGAGGTTTTCTGTCACAGTATGTTCAAATATACAATAAAGTCACCTAGCATATTTTTCAGGATTCAAACTAATGCAATTATAGAGACATTTAACTGGGAAAATGTCTTAAATTTAATAGAAACTTTGTATCCACAGGCATGCAGGAACGTTTTGAAACAAAAATAAAAGAAAGTTTCTGATAATAGCCTGTTACTTTCTGTAGTTTAGGGGGGAAAAACACAGAAACTAAACAAATCTGATCTTGTTGTTGGGTTCACATTGAGGTCAAAGTATGTGAAAACAAAATCAATGAACATGGGAAGTAAAAAGCCTTAAAGAAATGACTCAACAACAGTAACGCAAAGAACTAAAGACCAAATCAATAATTCTTATTTAAAAAAGTATCACCCTGACATTTCGGCAAAAACTGGTCCAGGTGACTGTAGGAAGTAGGTGTCAGATGGAGAACAAAAAGCCTACATGAGCGAAATGCCACCTTGTTTCAGAAGCTGAGGCATCAAAATGACAGGAACACTGCAGAATCTTACAGGGAGGTTTTTAGCTGAGTCCAGATAGACCACCAGCAGAGCTGACGACAGGCCATCACTGCTCGGGCTTCTGTCCGCGCGCACATTTCGCAGCACCTGATTGGACAAAGAGATGTTTCAAGCCAATTATCACCAGTAAATGCAGGAAACAGCAGCACACAATGAGATCAGCGATACCTGGTCCAGCTTCTCTGGAGTGGAGAACAGAGAAAGCCACTCCAATTTTAGGTGGAGTTTTCCTGTAAGYGCTTCTTCAAGTTCAAACCACTGCAACAATGAAGCAAAACTGGGTTCAGTTTGAAGTTGGAGTAAAAGAAAATCAGATTTATTTTTGTTTTTATAGGTTTGAGAACTGTTTTCAAAGCCTTTATAATGTTGCTCAAAAAAAACCTGCTCAATGATGTGACAAGGGTTAAAAAAAACCTTAAAAACAGGACTGTTGTGTAAATGAAACTAAAAAATGTGATTTTTAATTAAAGGTAGTGCTGATCGAAGTGTTGACTTCTATTACACAGAAAGCTTTTTCTCTCCCTCAGACTGTCGTTCACATGAACACAAACATAAATCTGCACTTTTTATTTGTGAGGCAGGGATTGAATTGCCATGACCAGAGAAGCAATGCTCATTAGTGTTTCAAGGAAACACACAACAGCAGTGCAAGCTTTAAAAGGAGGAGGGAGTGGGTGTCTCAAAGCGCAGTCTGCTAGCAAACAGAAGCAAAAGTCTGTAAAAATACAAAGTAAAAAAAAATTACTTGTTAAAATGTCTGAGGGAGAGAATATCTGCAAAGCTTTATATTAACTTTACATTAACTCAGAAGAATTGATGACATCAAACGACACGTAGAAGAAAAAAAAACAGCTTTGGAAAAGCAGCAGCGGGCACAAAAACAAACATGTTTTTGTTTTATTTCAGGGACAGGCTGGTTTCTGAGACTAAAACTACAAATGACTTCATAATGAAATAAGTTGAACACAGAWATATACTAGCTTAAAGATAGATAAACAAATATTGTTTAAACCGCTATTATCAATTAAATGCTAATTTTTAATTTGGGGTCTCTCTGTGTGGAGTTTGCATGTTCTCATGTTTCTCCAGGTACTCCRGTTTCCTCCCACAGTCCAAATACATGCATTCTAGTTTTCAAGCCCAGACCTAACTTACAGAAGAGATTTGTGATCGCAGTGGGATTTGACTGGTTAAATAAAGGTAAATAAAAGATCCACGTAAATAAAACTGAAGTCTGGATTGGTTTGGTGCATTGTTTGTTAAGGGGCTTGTGCTAAAAAAACAACAGCCAAAAATTGTCACATTTAGCTTCAAAAAACGTTTGAGTGTGGATTTTTTAAAGTCACCTTTTACCACATTTAAATAGTTAATTCTAAATGTTAAATCTAAATATTAAATGTTATATCTAAATATTCACTGAAACTAAATATTTAGCTAATATGCAAATCCACACTGCCTGTGACAGGAAGTGTCAAAATAAAAGCATGACTGTGTTTATAAAAGAATATGTCTAAGATGTTTCATTAAATAGGTTTTTGTAGACATTTATTGTCACAAAAATGTATCGATTCCCCCAATATGTTTCTTCATAAGATGATTATTCTATAAAGACAGTCAAACTTTTATTTTGGCRCTTCCGGCTACTTTTTCAAATAATGTTTGAAGCTAAATGTGACAAATAAACGTGCACTGTTGTTTTTAGAACAAGCAACTTTACAACTGGCATTGTAAATGTGTGCGTTGGAAGTRTAAGTGTTTCTGAACGAATTAACTCTAAAAGAGACAAAAGTGTGTTACCTCATCAACCTTCTGCTCTTTGTGTAGCTCAGTCAAATCAATCATCAGGCTGCAAATAATGATAAATGCAGTAATTAGCTGAATCCATTTGACAAACAGTAAACAGAAAAATCAAGCCAATTAATCAAAACAGCGGGGTCCAGATATCGACCTGCTGCTCTACAATCCATTGAATTTGCCCTTGAGAAGGGAACTGTGGGATAATCGCTCTGCAAAGAATATTAACTCGGAGCTGCGTTGATGCATTTGTGTGTCATCCGTCAGCAGCACTGCTGAGGTGCAACAAGTCCAGTTTCCTTTGAGAAATGTGTAATAAGATCACAGCAGGGCAGTAAATAAGACTTACCTTCCGAGGAAATCATCCTTGTCTGGATCCTCATCAAACAGCTCAATCTCAAGGTGTTGACCAGAGGGCTCGTACAGCAGAGCCTGAGGAATAAAAGAAAAACAATCTGACCATCAGCAAATTGATTTAGAGAAGTCGTTTAAGACTYGGTGAAAATTAGAACCTGATTATTAGTGAGCAACCTGCAGAGGGAACTAATAACATAAGATAAATCAATAGCTAATATCGCTTTGAAAAAAAAAACTGAACTAATCGTTCACTTCTTTTGTTTGTGATCCTAAACGTTTTACCTCATAAACTTCGTTCCACTTGGGATGGAGGCTCTCTTTTATTGTTTTGCTGTGAAACAGTTGGTTGCCGACCTGCAGGACACCGTAAGGGTCGGACTTGCCCTTGATCAGCCCTCCCAGAAACTGATCTTTTCCTTCCAGATCCTGGGCCTCCAGGAAGTGAATCCTTAGGACTCCCTGAGAAAACGAGTGCAAATTATTTGTTTAGTAATCAATGTCGGAGACGCATTAAAAGCTATAAAAAGAACAGCTGCGCAAGACTGAAGAGAGTTTTTTTTAACCTTGTAAATCCAACTCAGTTTAACTTAGATTAAAATGATTAAAGTAACACACATGGAATACAAAATCAATCAGAAAAAAAAAACATTTCACTTCCTAAGATCCAGCAGAGAGCTCCTAGAGCTGATGCAACAAGACCGAAATCCTGCTTCAAACATGAAATTTAAAAAGTCAGAAATTAAATAAATAAAATAAAACATGACATTCCTCAGTTGTACCATTTGATCTGCTTTGTTGTTGTACTTTTTAACAAAACGAAATGATTAAAAATACAGCTTTTTAACTATTTGTTAATAAATAAGCAGGTGTACATTTCCAATGAACAGTTTTTCCTTCAGTCAACTAATCAGTTTAATAATTACAGATTACATGAAAGACCAGTTTACTTACTATAAAAATGCAAACGCATAAACACAAAAAGCCTGAACTCTGTTTTRTCTTGTTGCCATGGATACAAGTTTTAGTGACAAAGCCTTGACTTTATTTTTTTWAAGTGGTTCTATTATTCTGTCAGTTTTGAGAATTGCCTTCAAAAATGTTAGCAGCGATTTTATTTTATTATTTATTTTTAATTTAGAGTGAATGAAGAACACACATTTGACTATAAACAGCCTT